ATTGCTTTATCTATTTCTACAAGAAATGCCCTTGGGATTTTGATTGGCATTGAATTAAACCTATAGAGAACTTTGGGTAATATTGCCAGGCAACCAGTCTTTTTGGAACCAAGAAATAATAAACTTTATTGTTACATGTTAATAAAGTTGAACCATGTGAACTTGCGGTTTTTATAAGTAAAACACTGTTGAAAGCCAGCACTTTGATTTAGTATAATAAAATTGTACTGATGGTCCCTAACTACAGTGGTTTGACTCAATGAGTTTTTTACTTTATAATGGTGCATAGTTGTACCTGTATAACCATTGTTTTTTACTTTCAGTATAGTATTCAATAAATTACGTGAGAGCAAGGAAAGGAAGGGAAAAGGGAAGTGGGAGGGAAGGGAAGGTTGAGCCATTGGGTTGGGGATATAGCTCAGTGGTAGAGTGTTGCCTAGCATGTGCAAAGCCCTGGGTTCAACTCCCAGCAGGGGGAGATTAAAAAAAAAAAAAGGTGGGGAAGGAAGGAATGGGAAAAAAAAAAAAGGCATACACGTGATAGCCTCTGAGGGCATGACAACTGGTTTCTTTTTTTTTTTTTTAATATTTTTTAGTTGTAGCTGGGCACAATACCTTTATTTTATTTATTTATATGTCGTGCTGAGGATCAAACCCAGGGCCTCGCCTGTGCTAGGCGAGTGCTCTACCGCTGAGCCACAACCCCAGCCCAGACAACTGGTTTCTTAAGGCTTTTGGGTGTAGACTAAATTATACTACCAGCTTTCCTGGATCTCCAACTTGCAAATGGCAGGTAATGGGACTTTTCAACCTCCATAACCATGGAAATTGATTGAATTGTATATTATGCAGATAGAAAAAGAATGAGGAAAATCTCTGTATGTTGATATGGGTGTTATTATTAGACTATGTTGTGCATAAAAAAGAAAACTTGAATACATATATATGTAATATACATATTTACTTATAGGCCCAAAAGGAAATGATGAAAAGATAAATAGATACTAATTAAAATGGTTAATATTGAGAGGGTATAGAAAAGGAATAGGGATGGAAGAGAAACATCTGTGAATGCATATTTTTTTAAAACATTCTTTTAAAAAAAAAAACAAACCTTTATTTATTTTTATGTGGTGCTGAGGATCGAACCTAGTGCCTCATACATGCTAGGCAAGCGCTTTACCACTGAGCCACAACCCCAGCCCGAGTGCATATTTGTATGTACTTTTACTTTGAAACCTTGTGATGATTTTATATAATTAGAAATTTAAAATTAAAAAGAAAAGGATAGTTATTAAAAATTAGATGAAGGGAGCTGGAGATGTAGGTCAGCGGTGGGACTATTTGCCTAGGATGAGATGTTCACCACTTTATTATAAAATAGGGTTTTTAAAAAATTCTWATTTGTTATATATGATAGCAGAATGCATTACAATTCATATTACACATATACAGCACAATTTTTCAAATCTTTGGTTGTATATAAAGTGTATTCACACCATTTGTATTCTCATACATGTACTTAGGGTAATAATGTCCATCTCATTCCTCCATCTTTCCTACCCCTGTGCCCTCTCCCTTCTTCTCCCATTCCTTTTCCCTATCTAGAGTTCGTCCAACCCTCCCATGCTCCCCCTCCCAACCCCACTATGAATCAGCCTCCTTATATCAGAGAAAACATTCAGCATTTGGTTTTTTGGGATTGGCTAATTTCACTTAGCATTATATTCTCCAGCTGCATCCATTTACTTTCGAATGTCATGATTTTATTCTCTTTTATTGCTGAATAATATTCCATTGGGTATATATACCACATTTTCTTTATCCATTCATCTACTGAAGGGTATATAGGTTGGTTCCACAATTTAGCTGTTGTGAATTGTGGCTGTGTCCCTGTATATATAAAATAGGTTTTGTGTTAGATAATTTTACCTATTCTAGGCTGAGTTAAGTGTTCTGGTTTTTTAAAAATTTTTAGTTGATTTATTTATTTATATGCGGTGCTGAGAATTGAACCCAATGCTTCACACATGTGAGGCAAACACTCTACCACTGAGTCACAACCCCAGCCCAAGTGTTCTGTTTTTGATGTGTAAAGACTGAATCCAGGGCCTCACACATGTTAGGCTAATGATTTACTCCTGAGCTACATCCCCAGACTTTTTAAAATTTTATTTTTGAGACAGTGTCTATCTAAGTAGAGGAAATGGAGATCCTCCTGCTTCAGCCTCCTGTGTAGTTGGAATTTTAGGTGTGAGCCACTTTGCTTGGCTGATTTGAATGTTCTAAGCACGTTTAAGGTAGGCTAGGCTAAGCTAGGATGTTTATCAGGATAGGTGTATTAAATGCATTTTCAGCTTATGGTATTTTCAATTTGTGATGTGTTTATTGGAAACTTGTTGGGAGGAGCATCTGTATTTTAATTATTTGGTTTACATGTTGATCTGTGAGTGATCTGTAGTCACTCTAATTAGCCAGAAGATTAATTAAGTAGTTTTTCTATTTGCAAGTCATTCTGAAATATTCTATAAGGAACCTCAGCACCAATAAGTCCAACTTCTCCTTTTCTATATTAGGAAATTTAAAGAACTCAAGGCAAAGTTGCTGGTGGACACACACTACTTAGTTTCAAATTGGTGACTCAACTTGCTAATCCTGGAGGCAGGTAGAGGCATTTGCAGGCTGAGTGCCTTCTAGCCACATGTGCCTTGCCCAAGCCCCACTTGGAAATGCACCTTTCCCCAGAAAGGTCTTGCTTGCCTTAGAGCAAGTGGTGAAAAAAAGCATGTCTGAGACAGCCTTGTCCATGTCTCTACCCTTCCATGAGTTTAGGGCCCTGGGTTTTCACCAATAGCATGCAAGCCTAGCAGTGTTTTCTCTCTGATTTTTAACTTTAGCATCAAAACTTCTGAAAGGTCAGACGTCCAAAATAGCATCCCTTAGTTGACTGCATGGGATCCTACAGAAATGCAGGGGGTGCTGCTTGTGGGATTTGCTTGCTGTGAGTAGTGGGAAAATATTTATTTGTTCATTTTGTGTCTTTTTGTTCATGCAGCCCTCTTGAATTTTATCAACATTCTGGATGCTGCCCGCTTTTTAAAAACTGTAAACAAGTGCAGTGGGCTTTGCAGAAGGAAGCTGTGGTTTCTGGTCTTCCTGCTTGCTCATGTTTTTTTTCAGAGGGAGGGCTAACATCTGACCATATTTTTCTACAAGTTCAAGAGAGAGTAGAGAATGCACCAGAAGGTGAGGAACCAGAATTCCTCCAAAGAAATTGCTCCTCAAACTGAGTCTCCAACGGGGTATTCCATGGAGAATGAGGTAGGTTCAAATCCAGTGTGGAAGGAGCCGCCTAGAACAATTGTGTGGGGCCCTTGTGGGTGGCATTTATGCCATTTCTCAAGGCTTGTTCAGGATGTCCTGTCCTCTGACCTCTACTCTGGGACATTGGGGTGGAGGGTTCATTTATCAGCTTCTTTGGCTGGAGGGCAGTCAACAGTGTGTGTGCCTGGAAATGAGGAGCCATCCCATCCAACTGGAGAGTAGAGGTTGTTACACTCATTCATTTTTACTTAGGAATGAGGCCATGGTTTTTCTGTCTTTGAGGGAAAAGTAATTTTCCTGTGGATTTGTAGTCAGTTGAGTCCCAAGATCTGAGTTGAACAATGGTAAAGGAAAACGGTCAAGAAATTGATAGCATCCAAACCTGGAGAGACTTGTGCCTGGAATTTTTTCCATAGGCCCATAGTGGGACCATAGCTGTGTACTAGTGTGGATTTCAGTCCATTGGCTATGGCAGCCTATGGGCATTAAGGTGCATATGCATTTGCCACCAGAGCAAACCGGCAGCAGTGGGCAGAGATCTGATTCTCTAAACTTGGCCAAGTCCTGAGATGGGGACACATACAGGCAATGTTGTGCTCATTATTAGACATGTGTAGTACCAGGGAAAGGTCCTTTTTCCATCAGGCATAAGACTACTCAATTTTCTTAAAAGAAATTGAACCTATCTAGGGGCACTACAGTGAGTGCTGGGAGTTGTTTCCAGTTTAGATAGGCAGTTTTGCAGGGCAGGATTGGCAGAGGGAGCTCTCTGTTACAGAGTTTGCAAAAGAAAATTTGTCATAGCCTCCAATACACATAGACCTAGGGCAGTGTATGATATATGAGAAGTGCAGGCTTGGATGTATAGGGACATAGCCTCTCATTGTTCATCTGGACATAATTGTGCTTCTGGTTTTTGTTGAAGCAGGGGTACCCTGAGCAGTTTTCTGACCCTACACACTGAGGTTGGTGCCTCTTCTAGTCACTCTCCCTTATCCTTGCCAGGCCTGGTCATTACTGGGTAGTTGGAGTTTGTCTGCCTCTTAGACTGGGGGCATTCTGGGGAAAGGAATGATGGCTCCTTCACTGTTAATAGCAGTGTCTGGTGTGTGGCAAACCGTCGTGAGACTCTGCTTAAGGTTGGACTCTAGCAGATGCTGGGTCTTTTATTTTAATAATAAGTGTCTTTGTTCAGAGTCAGTCTTGTTTTATTAGCAAGGTAAGACCTACCTTATAGTTTATCGTGAGGATTAAATCAGATACMCATGTGAAAATGTATGAGGTACCCCATGCATCTTGGTTTTCTTACTTTCTTCCTTCTTATATTTGTTAGCACTTTTCCCAGAATTACTTGCTGAGCTTACGTTTTGTACTGGGGATGCAAGTAGCATGTATGGCTGTACTGTTTACTTTGTTCCCAGAGCAGAGGCCACTGTCTCATAAGTCTAGGTATGCTAATTCTTTCGTTCATTCATTAATTGATCAGTACAGGGGATTGAACCCAGGGGTGCTCTACGACTGAGCCATATCTCCAGCCCCTTTTATTTTTTATTTTGAGTCAGGGTCTTGCTGAGTTGCTTAGTGCCTTGCTAAGTTGCTGAGGCTAGCCCAGAACTTGTAATTTTCTTGCCTCAGCCTGTGGAATCACTGAGATTACTGATGTGTGACRTCACACCTGGCTTTTGCTGGTTCTTTTACAGGATATATTTCTTACTGTACATGAATAAACAGATGCTCTGATTTAGAAGTTAATATCTGAGAAATTGTGTGGTAACCTCAGTCCTTCAGAATCTTTTCACCCAAGTGGACCATTAGATTGATCTTCCTACTTGATGAAACTCAAGACCCATAGTGGACACAGGTCATGAGAGAGCATGTTCATTATGTAATGTTCTATACAGGCCAGAGGGAGTTTTAGTTTTGGTTTTTATTTTTATTTTTATTATTTTTAAAAAGTTTTACTTATTTATTTTTATGTGGTGCTGAGGATAGAACCCAGGGCCTCGCATGTGCTAGGCGAGCGCTCTAAGGCCGAGCCACAACCCCAGCCCTAGTTTGGAATCTGTAGAACATTTAAACTAAGAAATATATTTTGGGTTTCCAACTTTGTGTGTGTTGCTGGGGATCAAAAACAGGGTCTTGCACTTACCAGGAAAATACTCTACCACTGAGTAGTAGAGTATTCCCCAGCTCCAAGATTTCCAACTTTAAGAGCTGTTTTAAGTTTAACATGGCAAATAGTACAATATTGCAAGGATCTGGGGCCTTTTCAGAGTGAGTCTAGAAAGTTCCACATAGTTATCTGAGGTAGTGTATATTCCACATGGATGTCTATACGATGCTGCACAGAAACTCAGAGCTAGGTTCACTCCTCCCTGTTCTGTACCTTGGGCTCTGGCGGCCCTTTCAACCCTATAGCCTCCGTTTCTTCAGAAAAGACTTAGGCCAATAGTGTCATCCTGTGTTGGGACTCCACTCATGGAAGAGACACTCACTCAACCCCCTGCTCTTCTGGGGGCCAGTTGGGTCTTTTGATTTCTTGAGGTCAAAGATGATAGATCATTTTGGTGGTGATGAACATGCATACTCAATAAAACACTTGTTGAATGAAGATTGATGGTTGCTAGACTTTTTAAACTTTGGATCTGTAGAACATTTCAGTGAGAAGGTGAATGTAATCCCAGGGACTTTGGAGACTGAGGAAGGAAGATTGAAAGTTTGAGGCCAGCCTCAGAATATAGCGAGGCCTTTAGCAACTTAGCAGGGCCCTGTCCCTGTCTCAAAATACAAAATTAAAAAAGGCCTGGGGGATGTGGCTCACTGGTAAAGTGCCCCTGGTTCAATCCCTTGTACAAAAAAAAAAGGGTGGGGGAACCCATGATAGGTTATTGGAATCTTGATTCTGTACATCAGAATATTCTAAATTATTTATCAGTTTAATTTTTAACCACAATTTTCATGTTCAAAAGCAGCTTTAGTTAAAAAATCTGAGATGCCGTCTTGTTCTGTTTTGTTGCTGAAATAGCAGAGTACTCCCTTACAGTGCTTCTTGTTCCTCTTGCCTGTTCCCCATGGCTGAGAGAGAACTGGGCCAATGCAAAAGTGCTAATTCTCTTCCACCAGAGCAGCAGCTACCCTTCATTCTGTGCTAAAGACAGTGAAGTTGTGGCAGATGTGCTTGGTGTGTTTCATTACTAAATAGTTTCAACAGTCCACAATCTAGGAAGACTCATCTATCCAGTAAAAAACAAAAACAGGGTGGTTTAGCATTATGGCACATATTTGGGGCCTGCTGTGTGTCTTCAGCATTTACTGGCTATTTTTGTCATGGATTTAAATTCTGTTACTCTGTTTTGGTAATATTTCTCCTGCCTAACTGTGATACCCTTGAGGGTAGGAACTATCCCTCTTCCATCTGTGGTGCCTCCCTGGTTGCCTAGCCTGGTATAAACACTAAATGAAGGGTCACCACCAGCATTTATTGTTCTCCAGTCCTGTGTAGGCTCTGGGGCAGAGATGAAAGTGCCAGGGGCAGTGGTGACAGAGTTGGGCTCAACTAGGGAAGAACAGACCCCTGGGCAGTAAGTCATTCATGGGGGCATCCATAGAGGGTATCTACAGGGGTTGTACATGGTTTTCTTGTCCTGCAGGGGTTCTGAAAGATGCTCCCAATGGTTGTATCACTGCCTAATTGCAGAGGGTCTTTCTTTAGTGTTGGGACTGCAGGACAGGGCCCTGGGGTCCTTCCTAGTGTAGATTAATTCTTTATGTAGATTCTAATTTTATGAACTGTATATTACTTTTATGATAACAGTATAAGTTGCCCGTGGTTTGAGAACCTGTAAGGTGTGGTGAGGGCTTCTTGGTTAGAGGGCTATCTTAGCAAGTCTTCGTCTTAGAATGGGTTCCTCTTGTTCCCATGTGTGGATTAGTAGTGAGTTTGATAGCAGGCAGCTTCTGGAGGACAGGCCCACCAAGCTGAACTGCTTGCCTGCTGGAGCCAGTGCTCAGCCATAGTAAGCTACTGAGAGGAGGGAATTCTGTGGGGTCACAGGAAGAAATGTTTTAGGGATACCTATTTTCCACTGGCCAGTGTGAGACCATGAACTCTATAGAGACACAGGTTTATGGGCCACATGCCTTTGTATATCCGTAAACCTCAGGGCTAGGCTATGTACATCATAAGAACTAGAAGGAGAAACTAGTGGTTAAGTGTAACACATGTGAAGAGTAATTCATGTGCCATCTGGTCACCGAGGATGGTGTCAGTAGTGAGGAAATCACAGTTGTTTTTGGTGGGGCTGATGAAACATGATTTTTGCATTGCTAAAATTACATCACCAAATGTGGGGGGTCATATCCAGCTTACAGTTTCCCCTCAGTAAAAATCTGATTTGACAAATCACAGGTGACTGTTTCTCACCCTTCTCCCTTGAGAACCCCACATTGAGACTGCCTGGTCCAAATGCCACCTGCTCCCATCCACCACTTATCAAAACTCCTCCTGAGGCCCAAAGTACAAACTTGTGAAGGGTCTGAAGAGAAAAGTCTGAAAGGTACCCCAGGGGCAGCTGTTGTAGAGTGTGAATGTGGCAGCTCAGAACTAGCATCCTGCCAGCTTTTCCAGAACCCTTTTCCATCTGTTCTGTTATTTGTCTTAGAGAGGGTTGTCTTCTAAGGATATTGGTTCTTTTAACTTTATATGCTTTTATATCTTGTTCCAGTTTACGTATAAACAGTGAGAGGCAACAATCATATTCATCCTTTTCAAATATAAATATTTCAAAGGTGAAAACAGTACAGAGCATAGAAAATGGAGCTCTGTACACACATCATCCAGCCCCAGCTGTTACCTGCTGTGGGGTCCTTCTTTCTTTTTCTGGTACTAGAAATTGGATCCGGGGGTGTTTTACCACTGAGCTATATTCTGAACCCTTTTAATTAAAAAAATAAATAAATAAATTTTGAGACAGGGTCTCACTAAGTTGCTTAGGGCCTCCCTGAGTTGCTAGGGCTGGTTTCAAAGTTGCAATCCTCCTGCCTCAGTAAGTCTCTGGGATTACAGGCATGTGCCACTGGTCTCGGTGCTGGGAACCTTCAGTTATCTTACTCTACCTTCTCCCCAGTGCCAGCAAGAAATTTTAAGGGGCTACCTCTGGGAGAGCTACTGGTCAAGAAAGGGTGTCAAGGTCAACAATTGACTATTCCAGGTCAAGGAGGCAGATGCTGAGTGGGTCAAAATAGCTGACACGAAAGGAAGTATTTTAGTGGATCAGAGGGCTCTGAATCTGAATCAGAGTCTTGTCCCATGGGGAGAGTGGATAAAGCACTCAGGTGGGTGCCAGGCCCAGTTTTATTTTCTAGTCTGGTCATGAGGTGTAGAAGACAGTCTGAGGCTTTGGCACTATTTTTATAATGATAGATGTTGAAGAAGAGATGAATTTATGTATGCAAGAAGGTGTATATTTGAATGGTACTGGGCATTGAATACAGTGATGCTTTTTCACCAAGCTACATACCAGCCCTTTTAATTTTTTAATTTTGAGATAGGGCTTCACTGAGTTGCTTAAGCTGGCCTCAAACTTGTGATCCTTCTGCCTTAGCCTCCCAAATCTCTGGGATAGGTGTGTACCACTGTACCTGTGAGATGAATTTATAATATATTGTCAAGAGTAAAAACAGTCATAAAATAACTTGACATATATTTTGCTTGTTCACAGTGTATCAGATGTGTGCTCAGCGGATTTTGTAAATTATTTCATAGTCTGCTCACAGACTGAGGATCATAAACTCATTTTAGAGATGGTGAGAGTTCAGATAATCAGTTTGCTCAGGAAACTATGCAGCCAAGACCATCATGCCAGAGTGGAGGTCAAGCCTCCAGCCTGAGGAACTTGTCTATCTACTGGTAGCAAAGGGTCCTTGAGATGTAGGAAACCTTGGGGTGGGGGTGAGGATAGGCATGATAGCAGAGTGAGTGGACAGCTCCAACGCCAACTCTTCTCTCATCGTTTTATTTATTTATTTATTTTTAAATATTTATTTTTTAGTCTTAAGTGGACACAATATCTTTATTTTCTTAATTATTATTTTTTAGTTGTAGGTGGACACAGTACCTTTATTTTTATGTGGTGCTGAGAATCAAACCCAGTGTCTCACACATGCTAGGCAAGCACTCTACCTCTGAGCGACAACCTGAGCCAATATCTTTATTTTACATTTATGTGGTGCTAAGGATCGAACTCAGTGCCTCAAGCATGCCAGGCAAGCACTCTACCACTGAGCCACAACCCCAGCCCCCATTGTTTTATTTTTGTTGAACAGGATTTCTGATTTCTGTTTCAATGAATGTAATAAAACCCAACATCAAAAGGCCATGGATTTGAAGGGTCAGCAGTAAAGGTGAGGGACGGGAAAAGCTGTCTCCACTGTCAGAAGGCAGCAGAGTCAGGGAAGATTTTTGGGCCTATTATGTGAGGATGGGTGGACTTTGCTTGTTTATTGATTTTTTTTTTTTTTCTAATGCTAGAGAGCAGAGTGTGCTGGTAGGAGGTGGGGAGGGTCCATGCCAGGTAGGGTCTGACCCCAGCCTGACTATGGGGGTAACTGCAGGAAGCTGCTGGACCATAAAATTTTGCCTTTATTGGAAGTGATCACAGAGTTGTACCCTCAGCTGTGATGTCTATGAAATTGGTAGTTGACAAGGTGTTCTATGGGACCACAGGTTCTGTGACACCACTCTGTGTTGGATTTTGTGTGTGGCTGGATTTTCCATATTGCAGGGGAGAGAAGTGAAAGCTTTTAAAGTATCTGATAACTCATAAATTTTGTTTGTTACTGTATTTGGGAATAAGAGAAGGTCTAAGCTGGGCCTGCTGTGTGGACCCAGCTGCTGTCTGAGCACTGTCACCCCGTCTGGGTAGGCGAGCCGTAGAAGCAGCTGAATCTCCTCGCTAAGATGTCTGTCAGATCACTGAGAAAAAGGCAGTGATGTCATTGTCTCTTGCAAAGGTCACTTGGTGTCTTTGCCTGCATTTGTGACATTTTGCTGCTGAGGTAGCACTCAGTGTCTTGTTTTCTCTGGGTTTATGTTCAGGGACTGCAGCGCCATCTCTTAGCAGAACTTGGGATTGCTTCCTCATGGTGTCAATGATCAGGAGGTGCCAGGCCCTATCCTGGCGTTTCTTAGGCTAGGTTTGCTTTCATTCTCTTTCACTCTCTCTCTCTGAATTCACTTTGATTATAGGATTATTTTTCAGAACTTTCATGAGGTGCCTAACAGAGTGTGAGGTTGCTTAGTGAGGGACCAACCAGCATGATCAGGTGTCTAGTTGTCTGCCCCTGAAGCCTGGAGGCCCTGCCAGAGGGAAGGGATTGCAGAAGCAGCACATGCTGCATTAAAAAATGAGCTTCAGCTGGGTGTGGTTGTGCATGCCTATAATCCCGGCAACTTGGGAAACTAAGATAGGAGGATCACAAGTTCAAGGCCAGTCTCAGCAATTTAGTGAGACCCTTAGCAACTTACTGAGATCCTATCTGGGGAAAAAAAAAAAAAAAGGGCTGGACATGTAATTCAGTGGTAGAGTGCTCCTGGGTTCAGTCCCAGCACCATGAAAGAAATGAACTTCTGTAGACTGCTCCACCTTGGCTGCTGAGATGGTTCCTTGTTGCTCGCACCTGGCCATCCTTCCTACTTGCCTACACAGAGTTCTCTGACATGAAGTTGCTCAGCAGAGTTTGGAGGAGTTGGAGCCATGTATGTTTTGTCTTCTGGGGAAACTCTTCCCTCTGTCTCTTCTTCTTCTCAACAGCCAAGGTTACTCGCCTTCTGTGTATTGTAGTGAATAGAGCCCTCCACGCAGCCCATGTGGCTTCTTGGCCCACCTGGGCCTGTGAGCTGGCCACGGAGCCCAATCCCTCAGGCTATGTATTCTTTGTCCTTTCTCACTAGCCTGGCCATCATCAACCCCTGTTTGCATGGGGATAGTGGTAATGGTTTTGGCTACTTCTGTTTGTTAGCCACAGGTACAACACAAAGCATTTGTGAATAATGAACTCCAATCATTGCCATTTCTGCCTGCAGCCTGGAATTGTGTCGCCATTTAAACGAGTATTCCTAAAAGGTGAAAAGAGTAGAGATAAGAAAGCCCATGAGAAGGTGACAGAGAGGCGCCCTCTGCACACTGTGGTGCTGTCATTACCCGAGCGCGTCGAGCCAGACAGACTGCTGAGCGACTATATTGAGAAGGAGGTAAAGGTAAGTCGCCATGGGCCACAGGGCGCACCTGCCAAACACTGAGATGATGAGGCATCTACCTCTACATAGTGCCTTAGCCCACACCCCACTCACTGCCCTTTCTGTGCTGATGTGTCTAATAAGAAAACCCAAAACCCAAATTCTTGTCCCTGACCAAAGTTTGTTTTTTTATGCAGTAGTATGATATGTCCTCTCTCTTGAAGGCCCAGCCATTTGGGCAGCTTGACCTGCTCTACCAGAAGAGGGTTGAAGAGCTGGGAGAAATTCCACATCTCCTCTAGTTTGCAGATGACAAGAGTTATTTGATTGAGTGCTGGACATGGTGGCATATACCTGTAATCCCAGCTACTCATGAGGCTGAGGCAGGAGGATTGCAAGTTTGAGGCCCAAATGGGCAATTTAGTGAGATCCTGCCTCAAAATTTAAAAAGAGGGGAAGGGGCTAGGGATAGTCTAGCATGCTGGAGGCCCAGGGGTTAATCCCCATTACTGCAAAAAAAAGTGGGTTGGGAAGGCACTCTAATCATGTGCTTGAGCCCATCACTGTGTCTCAAAGGCCTGTGCTCAACAGACTGTTTCTAAGCCATGTGATGTTCCCTAACATGAAAGTAAATGAATAAAAAGGTATTAAGCCACAAGGTCGGAGAGAAAGAGAAGGAGACAACAGGTTGAGGGGGCCCATAAATAGGAGAAGGAAGCTAATGAGGTGAGATTTTTGGGTCAGAGGTTATGCTGCTGGACCTGAGCACCCACAGAAGAAAGAATCCAGGTGCTTAGAAGGGACCTGTCTGGATGCCTGTGAGAGGTATTCCTGCCTTCACCTGGCCCAGCCAGGGGATTAGCTTCTCCCTTCCCCACTGGGAGATGGGACTTTGGACCTGCAGATATCTGGCACAAGGGAGGGTGGGAGAGACCCAGGTCAAAGCCTGCTATGGATGGTGAGAATTCCCAGCCCCTTTCTCTATCAAGCATCTAGAATGCCTGTAACCAGATCTTTTCCATTAGAGGATTCATGGAAAGAAGCTGAGCAGCCCCATACTGACCATGAGTGTTAAGAAGCTGGCAACCTGAAACACCAGCAAGGGTAGAATCTGCTCCCCTCTGCCAGAGGACCAGGAAAAGGGCAGCCTCACAAGGCAGCATGTTCAGAGAAGTACTGCTCAGCTCCAGCCAAATGTGACAGAAACAACTATGTCCCTAACTTCTATTCCACCAGCAAAGGCCAAGTAGGAGCCACCTTGTCCCCCAGAGCTGGCCAAGCAGGGAACAGGGAACTTTATCTCTGCTGAGCAGTAACAACTTCTTAAAGAACCTTGAATGGTTCTGGGTGTCAGTAGAAATCATGTGGGAGGCAGTCACTCCCCCAGCCAGGGAAGTATCATTGAGGGCCACATGGGAAGCCAGAACTGCCAGGAGGCCCAGCTCTAAGAAGAGCATCTCCCCCCACCCAGGGAGGCCAGGCAGAGAATGTGACGTTCCATTCTGCCTAATGATAGAAAGGTGTTATTTCTTTCTTCTCTGGGGACCAGAGCAGATTTCTAAGAGATGTGTCACTGGAGTTCTGGAGAGAGGATAAAGGGCAGGGATGAAGAACTTTTCAAAGATAATGTTTTAGACAGCTTTTGCATCATTGTGACCAAAATACCAGACAAGAACAATTTAGAGGAGGGAAAGTTTATTTGGGGCTCATGGTTTCAGAGGTCTTAGTCTATAGATGACTAACCTCATTGCTTAGGACCCAAGGTAAGGCAGCACTTCATATCGGAAGGGCCCAGCAGAGGAACACTGCTCAGCTCACAGCAAGGTCAGGAAGCAAGGAGGTGGACACAGAGAAGATGTACCCTTTCAGGGTATGTTCCTAGTGATCTATCTCCTCCAGCCGTATTCTACGTGCTCATAGTTACCACCAAGTCATTCACACCAGGATGGACTGGTTAGATTACAGCTCTCAATCCAATAACTCTACCTCCGACCATTTTTGCATTGACACTGGACTTTTTCAGGGGATACCTTACATCCAAACCATAACAGATATAACGGCTAAAGCAGCTCCAACTGGCAAAACACAAACTTAGAGAGCAGTTAAAACAGCAGATTATTCGTCAGAAACATGGGGACCAGGAGAAAGTGGCCCAGCATTCTTCAAGGGCCCAGAGACCCTGCAGAATCAAAAGGATAAGGAAAGAATACAACAAGCAACTCTACTGCAGAAACAGTAGATCAAAAGACGGGACGGACCAATTCCTTGAAATGTGCAAACTACTGCACATCCTCTGAAATAAATAATTGGAAATGTTTTGTAATTATTAAAGAAATTCAATATCTAATTTTCTAACTTTTTTTTTTTTTATAAAAGAAGTCTTCAGTCTCTGATGGTTTCACTGGAGATTTCTACCAACCATTTGAAGAATTAACACCAGTTCTACAGTCTCTTCTAGAGAAATGGAAGGGGAGGGACACTTTCTTATTCTGGGAGGGTAGTATTGTCTGATACCAAAATCGGACAAAAACAGAACAAAAGATATATAGCCGCAAAACTTCTAAGCAAAATATTAACTAATTGAATTCAGCATATGTAAAAAAAAGTTATATACCATGATCAAGTGGGGTTTATTCGAAGGTTGCAAGATTGGCTTTGTATTTGAAAAGGTAATTCATCTTATTAGTCAGTGCAGAAATTGACAAAATCCAACACCCATTCTTGATAAAAACTCAGAAAACAAGATTATGTATGTGAGCAATGAATGTATAGATACCAAACTAAAAATACAGAATCATTTACAACTGCTTAAAATAATGAAACACTTAAGTATAAATCTTACAAAACATGTATAGCATTTGTATGCTAAAAACTAAAAAGATCAGAGAAGCACTAAATTTAGTGGAGAAATTTGAAATAAATCAGAGGCCTAAATGAAGAGACATGTTTGTAGACTGGTATGTTAACATGTCAGTTCTCCCCAAATTCATATAAATGGACCAGTGCTTTGAAAATCAGAAACTACCACAGGGTACCCAATATGTAATCAATATTATTTTTTTCTTTTTGTGGTACTGGGAATCAGACTTAGGGCCTCACACACACTAGAAAAGTGCTCTGCAACTGAACTATTATACTGAGCCCTGAAGTAGGTAATTCAAACAACTTTATTAGAAGTGAATTATACAATTTTTTGTCAAAATCCCAGCAAGATATTTTTTGTAGATACAAATAAGATATTCTGATCTATATGGGAAGGAAAAAGAAGTAGAATTAGCTAAAACAAATGTGGAAATATGAAATAAGGAGAGTTAGATCTCAAAAAGTATCAGATTGCTATAAAATTGTGAACCTAGGAGCAGACCTACACACTGATTGTTGTCAGAGGTGCAGAACCTATTCAGCAAATTGGATAGAAAATTGGATGCCATAGGCTAATAGTGAATCTCATCCTAAACTTCACTTAATACAAAAATTAATTCAAAATAGATCATGGGCTTAAATGTAAAACTTCTGGGAAAAATCTCAGAAAGTCTTCATGATGTAGGGCTAGGCAAAGAGGTCTTAGATGTGACACCAAAAACAATCAATAAAAGGAAAAACTGATAAGCTAGACTTCACCAAAGTATAAAAAATTTTCTCTGCAAAAGAGGATGAAAAGACACAATACAGGACTGGGGTTGTGGCTCAGTGGTTGAGCGCTTGCCTAACCTGTGCGAAGCCCTGGGTTCGATCCTTAGTACTACATAAAATAAATTAATAAAATAAAGTATTAAAAAGAAAGAAAAGACACTCTGCAGATGGAGAGGAAGTATTTGCAAACCACATATGTGATGGAGGGTTAGTATCTAGAAAATATAAAGAACTCTCAAAACTCTCAACAGGAGAAAAAGCAAACAATACAAGTAGAATTTGGGCAAGAGACGAGACATTTCACTAAAGAGGATATGTAGGTGACAATATAAATACATGAGAAGATGCCCAACACCACTAGCCATCAGGGAAAGGTAAATTAAAACCACAATAGTTATCACTATATACCTAACAGAATACCTAAAGTAAAGAATTAGTGGCAACATCCAGTGCTGGTGAGCATGCAAGGAGCTGGGTCCTTGCACACTGCTGGTAGAATGTAAAATGGTGCTGCTGCTCTGGAGAACGGTTTGATAGTTTCTTAAAAACTCACCATGCAACTACTATATGATCTTGCAATTGTGCTCCTAGGCACTTTATTCTAGGGAAGTGAAAATTTGTGTTCACATGAAAACCTGTGTATGCATATTCAAAGCAGTTTTATTTATAATAGCCCTAAACTGGAAACAACCCCAGTGTCCTTTGGTAGGTAAATGGTAAAACAAGTTGAGGTTTCTTCATGGCATGCAAGACTTCTCAGCACTAAAAAGGGATGAACTGCTAATACATATAATAACCTGGGTGGATTGTCAAAGTTACTGCTAAGTGGAACAAGCCATCCCACAAATGATTCCCTTTATATAACATTCTTAAAACAATGCAGTTACTGATATGGAGAACACAGTAGGATTTGCTGTGGTACAGATGGGGGAAATAGTTAAGCCTATCAAAAGGTAGTAGGAGGGAACTGGGCATGGTGGCATACATCCATAATCCCAGAGACTCAGGAGGCTGAGTGAGGAGGATCACAAGTTTGAAGCCAGCCTTAGCAATTTTAGTGAGACCTTGTCTCAAAAAAAAAAAAAAAAAAAAAAGGACTGGTGTCAGGAGTGTACCCCTCTAATTTCAGCAACTAGTGAGGCTGAGTGAGGTAGGAGGATTGCAAGTTCAGAACCCGCCTCAGCAATTTAGTAAGACCCTCAGCAACTTAGAGAAATTTTTTCTCAAAATAAAAAGGGCTGAGACGTAGCCCAGTGGTAAAGTGCCCTGGTTTTAATCCCTAGTAACCCCCAAGAAAAGGTAACAGGAGGGGACCTTAAGGTGATGGATGTTTTGAATCTTTAATGTCATTGTCTGTTTCCTATGTACTTTTTTTGGTGTACTTCTGT